ATGAAATTTATTTCTGAGAAGGAGAGAGAGAGAGAGAGAGGGAGGGAGAAAGAAATGTTATAATTTAGACAAACAAACAAATTTTTAACGGATTTGAAATTTCATTTTTGATTCTATATTTTATTTTACATCAAAATTTTGAATTTTTATTTTTATTTTAATTTTGATTTTAATTTTAACTATATGTTTGATTTTAATTTTGATTTAGACTATATGTCTGATTTTCATTTTGATTTTAATTTTGACTATATGTCTGATTTTAATTTTGATTGTAATTTTGACTGTATGTTTGATTTTAATTTTTATTTTAATTTAATAAAATTAAAATTGAAGTGTGAGAAATGGAAGTGTGAGATTTAAAAAAAGGGTGTGACGGTAACACTCATAGCGATATTTCGCTATCGTATCTACACGTCTGGATTTTTTTTTTTACTTTTAAGGATTAAAAGAAAGAGTCCGGTCGTCCTGGGTCAAAATGATGTCATGCTACACTTCGGCAATCATTATTTTTTTTACAAGAAATGATTACTAAACACAGCATGTCCATTAGGTTTTTCGATACAGGCCCCCCAATATCTCGATGGTACCCTTAAGAAAATGACAATCGATCTATAAAAAGGGACAGCGGGAATGATATTACGAATTGATATCCTGACAATTTTTTTTTATTTACAAGATCAAATTTTTCAAGGAAAATATTTAATTTTCAGTATTTATTACAAAAATGAAAAGAAATTTTTTTCTCCATTTAATTTTGTCTCGAGGACATAAAAATTTAAGTAATTTTTTCTCTGAAGTTAGGACATAAAAATTTAAGTAATGTATGATAATAATTATTGAGAGGTGTGCGGCAAACAATTTAATGAACTTGGTATCATGTGGCGATAGGAATCATTCTATAAAATTAGAAACTGATCTAACTTAAGAAATGCTTGCGTGCATTGAATCGTCACTTAGGAAAACAATCAGAAACTATCATTACCGGTAACGAGTGAAAATGCTTTAAAATTGTCTGGTGATTCAGAAGCGATCAATGCACCTAAAATGTATTTTCGTTTTCTTCTCCAAGTGTCTGTTTCTGTTTTCTATATATATACATATGTCTACTGATCTTTAAAGCAATCCTATTCTATCCATCAGCTTTAATTTCATTTAAATCTCCTTTTCTTATTCTAAAAAAGGAATCGAATACATTTTTAGGAGCAAATTCCCCAAAAAAAAGAAAAAAAAACTTGTTTTTTTCTGAATTTTTCCCAATTTCTTAAAATTGAACATTTTTCCTTCTTTTTTATTTCATTTAACTTCATTATTTTTGTGCTCTTCAAAAATACTTAACTTATTAAATAGTCTCCACCCTTTGGTAAAAAATCTAAAATTATGGAAAATTAGCAAAAATTCAAAAATCCGAATTTCTTAAAATTCAACACTTTTCCATAAAAATTGATCTTTTTAAAACGAAAAAAAATTTCAAAATACGTCTGTTTTAAAAATTTTATTGTAGAAATGAGTTAAACCGTTTTCAATTGTAGCGCGAACAAATTTTTGCATACAGGACAGAGAGAATTTTTTTTTACATTTTTCGAATTCTAATGTATCAAAACCAAAAAAAATATTAAAATTTTCAAGTTTGGAGCAATGTACAGACAGAAGTCTGATTTTATTAATATAGATAAGAAACGATAATAATAAGAATATATATAAAAACAAGTTAACTGTAAAAAAATGATTCAATTTGGAATAAAATTTGTTGCTTTGTTGCTTTTGTCGCAAAACATGAAAAGATTTGGATGTCGGGGGCGTCTCTTGTATAAAATGCACAACTTGCAACAATATGTGTGTATTAGTGTTGAACAAGAACAGGAAGGGAAGGTGCTTTCATTTGTCGTGGAAGTGTTAATGGCCTGGACGACAATAGAAGCGAGTGGGCTCAAGATATGGGACACTGTCTTATGCGAGATGTAAAATTGTTTGCAATTTCATGAGGAACAAAGGGGAACAGAAAAGAAACATCTCCGAATATAATGATCTCACGATGTTGATCTTTTTAAACCAAATGCATCAAAATAAATTATAATATATTGCCAAAAATGGGAGGCAAAATTAATTCACTTCCCTTTCTTTTTCTCTTTCTCTCTATATATGTATATATATGTACGTAAAATATTTTTCTTTTAGTGTTTGCAATTTGTCACTGCTTTTTTTTAATAAAGAAAAAAGAAAAGCACTGCTAAGTTGTAATTTCATGAAATAATATTTTTTGATAGTTATAATGAATTATTTTTTTAAAAAGTATTTTATCCTTCCTCCAAAATATAAAAATAATTATTTCCATTAATCATTACTGAATATAAGTAAGAAAATTAACCAAAGAAAATAATTAAGAAATCTTAATTAATTAATTTTAGTAGAACTGTGGAGAAATATACGAATCGGCAAAAATTATTTTAAAAAAATATTTGATATCAAAACTAAATATTCCAATCTATCAAAAAGGCTCGGTGAAAATAGCAACCCGCCGGCCGCCAGCCATCAGAAGAATCCATAGGCGCCGACACACATAGTAGCGCGGTGGCCCTATACGGTTCAATCAACGCAAAAACAACGTACGCTAGTTATATTACAATTTATAGAAAAAATTGCAATAGTCACATTTTAAACAGCAATAATCTCCCTTTACTTTGTGACAAAAAAATAAAAGTTTGGTCTACAATTGTTCGAGTTATAAATTTTTTTTCGATTTTTTTTCCAAATTTCGTTTTTCTGATACGGGCGGGTGGGGACGCTGGCTATCAAAAATTTATTTAAAAAATTTTTATTAGTCACATTTTAAGGAGCATCAATCACTTTTTAATTTGGGACCAAGAAACAAAAAATTGGTCAAAAATTATTCGAGTTATGAATATTTTTCCATTTTTTCCATTTTTCGTTTTTCTGATACGGGCGGGTGGGGACGCTGGCTATCAAAAATTTATTAAAAAAATTCTTATTGGTCACATTTTAAGGAGCATCAATCCCTCTTTAATTTGCGACCAAGAAACAAAAAATTGGTCAAAAATTGTTCGAGTTATGAATTTTTTTTCGATTTTTTTTTCCAATTTTCGTTTTTCTGATACGGGCGGGTGGGGACGCTGGCTATCAAAAATTTATTTAAAAAATTTTTATTAGTCACATTTTAAGGAGCATCAATCCCTCTTTAATTTGCGACCAAGAAACAAAAAATTGGTCAAAAATTGTTCGAGTTATGAATTTTTTTTCGATTTTTTTTCCAATTTTCGTTTTTCTGATACGGGCGGGTGGGGACGCTGGCTTAAAAAATTTATTTAAAAAATTTTTATTGGTCACATTTTAAGGAGCTTCAATCCGTCTTTAATTTGGGACCAAGAAACAAAAAATTGGTCAAAAATTGTTCGAGTTATGAATTTTTTTTCGATTTTTTTTCCAATTTTCGTTTTTCTGATACGGGCACGGGCGGGTGGGGACGCTGGCTATCAAAAATTTTAAAAAAATTTTAATTGTCACATTTTAAGGAGCAATAATTAAAGGGGGATAAAATATACGGATAAAATTAAAGAGGGATTATTGCTCCTTAAAAAGTGACTTTTGCAATTTTTTTTTATAATCTGTAATAGCTAGCGTACGTTGTTTTTGCGTTGATTGATCCATATAGAGCCACCACGCTACTATGTGTGTCGGCGCCTATGGATTCTTCTGATGGCTGACGGCCGGCGGGTCGCTAGTTTCACCGAGCCCTATCAAAAATCACTACATTGTTGTTAATATTAAAATTTTTATTCTCCTCGGATTATCCCTTTTTTCCCCACAAGGATAAGAATTTTTAGAGAGAAAAAAAACAACAACAACGAAAGAGTGGTTGTTAAAAGGGGTTTCTTATCTTATTAGCATTGTAATATTTTAGTTCTATGCAACTTAAATAGACAGTAGTTGTATATTCTCTTGTATCGGTTTTTGCTATTTATTTAGAACCTAATGTATAAACATGCCATATTATGTATTTTCAGAGTGGGAAATTTGTTTCTTATCTAATCGTTCAGTATCTGTGGGATTGTGAACTCTCACTTTCTTTTACCACCTTTGCAAAAGGAGGAGAGGAGAGAAATATAATATCTACGAGTGAATCTTTAAGAAGTCTCTTTTTATATGATACTACATATAACTACATATATCGTGTTATAGAAATTGTATAATGGACAATACTTATTCCGCTTCTGATGAAACACACATGTCCCCCTCCCTCTTTCTTTTTCTCTGATTCACTATTGAGTTTATCGAAAGAGAATATATCCTATGAATCACATTCCCACGTATATTCATTTATGTGTATCTCTTGCTTTTAGGCAAGATGCAATTTTTAATGTTTTATCGGAAAATTATTGAATTTCTGATAAAAAATTTTAATAGAATTCAATTATTTTCTAAAATTTTAATAAATCCTTCGAAACAAGTTCGAAGTATAAATTCAATTATATTTATAAACAGTATAAAAGTTTCCAAAATTCAATAAATTTTTCAAAAAATTTCACGAAAGATTTCAATTTTTGTCTTAACTCGTTATAAAATTTTTTAAAAGAATGCAATTATTTTTGAAAATGTTAATAGAATTCAATAATTAAATGTTTAATTAATTAATTTAATTAATTGAATTTAATTAACAAACACGATTATTTTAAAAACTTGAAAGAAATTATTCTTAAAATTCAATTATTTAAAAAAATTTTAAATTAAAAAAAATTGTTTTTAATTAATTATTAAAAAAAACTCTATTATTTAAAAAAAAATTTAAAGAAATCCTTAAAAAAGAATTTAAGGGATCTCTTTCTTAAAAAGAAGAAGAAATTCTTTCTAAAGAATTCTTTAGAATTTTTAAACATGTTAACAAAATTCTCCACAAGAATTCAATTATTTTCCTAAATAATGAAATTCTTTGAATGAATTCATTCTCCTATGAAGTTAGCGTCAAGAACAAATTTAATTTGACAAACCTTGTAAAATTCTCCAACGTCTGAACCAGGAAGCAGCGGTGTTGATGATGAAGATGATGACGACGGTGATGACGATAACAATTTTCACAAAACACCCGCGATTTAAAAATATTTTGAAACACTCCCGAAACTTCTTTTTTAAGTAAAAAAGAAAAATACTTTATACTTTTCCTAATAATTGAATAAAGACGATCGCGATTTTAAAAAAGAAACGAACACTCCCGAAATTAATATTACTCACTATTATGTATAGAAATAAAAGAAGAAAAATCTAAGAAAATAATAATTCAATATCATAAAGCATTTTTATAAAGATAGACGCGAACTTCTTGAGAGATTAAATGAATATTATTTGCGTCGCGACAATAATTATCATGAGCACTGAACAGGTCGTAACACGAATTGTAACTGGGATGAGTGAGATAGGAAATAAGTCTCGAGTATTTTCTATTATGAACTTGTTACGACCTGAGATTTTATACATAGTCGACTACCCTTTATATCGAAACATAAACACAACGCTCGACACAATGACTGTATATAGAAGCTCGTCCTTTCTTGCATGCATTTCCTCGGAAAGTATATATTGTATCTGAAAACAGAAATAATTTTCAAATATTATTAATTTTTAGAGAAATAATTTTTATTAAAAAATTTTTAATAAAAATAAAAATTTGTTATTTAAATATATAATTTTTAATCTATTCGCTTGAGTTACTTTAGTTGTATGTCAACCATCATTATTTGTTTCATGTCGTTTGTGAGAGAATTTTCATGCAGTCTAGGCGGCAATTTAATGAACTAAATTGGCGCGAAATTCAAAAAAAGAAAAATGTTAGAATGTTACTGATTTGATTTTTTTAAACTGATAAATAAACTAAAAGGAACTAAATTATTTCGGTAGCTTTAATTACTTTTTGTTAACAATATTATTCTTATTTTATGAATAAATAATATTAATAATATTTTTTAATTATCAATTAATTCAATAATAATAATTTAAATTCTCATTATATATTATATTAAAGAGTAATCAAAATAAAAAAAGAGAAATTACAAATTAAAGTACAAAATCGAAATAGTTATTAATTAAAAATAGTAAAATGTTCATAATTATCAACAATGCAAAGAATTTAACAATATCTAATTATTATTATAATAATAAAATGAAAAGAAGTAATAAATTATATTTACTACTTTATTTATTACGTCTAAAAATTATAATAAAATAAAAGTAAAAAAATTTTTCATTGAAGAAAAAAGTTAATTAATTATAGAAATAAATTAAGATTACAAAAATTATTAAATTCTTCACTACTTTTTATTAAATAATTTACTATTTTTTTTATTGAATAAAATTATAATTAAATAATTAGAATACATAAATTACAATTAAATAATTGTTATTATCTACTTTTAAATTGTAAATTATGTGCGAATATAAAAAAAAATTTCTCTCTAAAGACAATAATCGAAGCATGTAACGGAAGAAATAGTTTTATGAGTTCTTTACGAGGAAATTAGCGACAAAGATTATGTTTAACAGTATAATGTGTATATCGTACAAGATCTTAGTTATAAAAGACAAGATCGCGTCACATGATCATCTTCTGAGAAGATCCTAGGAAAAGAAATCCCAACAGCCTTTATGCGTAGGCTGAGGAGACTCTCAAGGCCTCATTGTCACCTTGAGAAGTCCCCGAATCGAGATCAATTTTCAGATCCTGAAACATCGCTTTCTTATCGTTGATACTTATTTTCAAATTTGCATAATTGAAAATAATTTCATACGACACATTTTCACTTATTTTTTTTCTTTCGTTTAAATCATTATTATTTTATCAAACAACTTTTTCATTAATGAATACAAAAAAAAAATGATAAATTGACACTCCTTGGGGTTCCATGTCCTTTAAATGATTTCGAGTCAGAAAATCAATAAAAGCGATGGGAAAAAGTGAATAAAAAATAAAAATAAATTAATTAAAACTAAATAAAAATAAAAAATAAATAAAAATAATTTTAATGTAAATAAATAGTAAGAAGTAAAACATAATGATGAATAAATAATAATTAATAAGGAACGAAATAAATAGTAATAAAAAGTTATAACAAATAATAATAAATAAATAACAAGTAAATAAATAAATAAAAAATAGTAATAAATAATAATAAATAATTAATAAATAAATAACAAATAGTAATTAATAGTAATAATAAGTAATAATAAATAAATACTAAATAGTAATAGTAACTAATAATAGTAACTAATAATAATTAAATACTAATTAGTGATAAATAATTATAAACAAATAATGTCAAATAACAATAAAAAAATATGAAAGTAATAAAATAAATAAAGAAAATAATGATCAAGAAAAGAAGAAAAAGGAAGAAATAAGGAAAATGTAGAAAATAACGAAATAAAGAAAAAAGGAAAATTAACTATTAAGAAATAATTAAAAAAATTAATCAACCATTAAGAAAATTAACCAACAATTATAGAAAAATGTGAATATTTCAAAGGTGAATATTTTTTTACCATAAAAAAAAATTTTGCAATAATGATCATTCTTTTTTTTTGCAAAGAACACTTACCTACAAGTATATTTATATTGAATAAAAGAAATGGACAAAAAATAAGAAAATATTGTGTTTACAAGTGTGATGATATAAAATAATGATGTTAATAGGCATCTAAAGAATGCGTGTATCGATTAAAATAAACTAACGTGTTTGATATTTGTCGAGGTAAACAAATTGGTCACGTACTTGACTTAATAAAGTCCACTGGGACTCAATTGCGCTGTTCGTTTCTAGCTAATTTTTCCAAGAATCCGCGAAACGATTAAATATTTCCCTCTGCTTGTACCATTCCAAAGAAGGTAAGCGGATTGACTGTTTTTTTTACTCCATCGTAACACGCATTCAATACTGTATTTTTTTTCTCTTCATTCTCAATTTTTTTTTTTTTTTTTTTTTTTGAGTTTTCTGACTTGAAATCATTTAAAGGACATGGAACCCCAAGGAGTGTCATTAACGACAATAATAGGTTATTTCTGTACAGCAGCAGCAGAAGTCGAGTCGTGAAACTACATTCACGAGACAATAATTAGGTAGCAATGACATATTGTGGAATATTTATCATCGGAATTATTAAAATCGATTGTTGAATTGAAACTATGAATTTATAGACAAATGGTGGAATATATGATAAGAATAATATTGTGAAAATATTGTCTGATAGTTCCCAATATTGCTGTAATATTGATAGTGGCAGTCTTGAAGCATTGGTGTATGAAAATGATTGTCGCGTCGTTGCGCTTGTGAGAGAACTTTCATGCCATCTAGGCGGCAATTTTATTAATTGTATTGGCGCGAAATTCAAAAAAGGAAAAATTGAATGAATAATAAATCAATATTAATATATTAAATAATAATTATATTATTAATAAATAATTAAATATTCAATAGATTAATAATTAAATATGATAAAATATTAATAACACTTAAATTAATATTAATAATATGAACTAGAAATTTACACAATTATTTTTTTATAGATTAATATCTACAAAAAATTATTGTGTAAATTTCTAGTTAATAACAATTACAAAATTTTATGTAGAAATTCTATTAAAGTTTTCTAGTAAAATTTTATAGAATGTTTACCACTCAGTCGGTAAAGTTCTATAGAATTTTACTAGAATGATTCCATGCAATAATTGTCCAATCATTCTAGTTACCATTCTGTAGAATTTTACTAGAATCATTCTATAGAATTTAAAAATAAATTTTAGTAAAACAATAAATATAAGAACAATAAATTATGTTTATAAATAAATAAAAGTAAAAAAAACAAATTACTATGAATAAAATAATTCAATCTACCCCACTTTGCTTTCTCTAAACTTTTTCTAATTACTTTTCACCTGAGAACGCCAAGGTCACCGTTAGATGGCAGTGCAGTTGATAATATTCACTCGCCACCTAGTGTCCATCTTGGCGTTCTCAAGTGGAGAACATTTTTATTAAATCCAGACGGCAATTTCGTGAACTACACTGGCGCGAAATTCAAAAAAAAAAATTTGTTATTAATTTTTTATTAATTTGTTATTAATTTTAAGAGTAAAATTTTCGGAAAAAAATAGAAAAGTCAAGAAACTTGTTTATTTAAACGCATTTTTACTTTTTCAAGTGCATTATTATGTCAGTTCATGATGGTTTGTGCCGCTGAAAAATAGAGCCTTCTATAAAAGTTTTGCAGTGATGGACTTAGGTATGCCAAGGGGAACACAAATGAAAGCACAAAAATCGCCGTAAAAAATGAATTATGGTGATGACGTCTCGTGGAAAAAAGGAACAATAGAAATGAGTTAAGTTTGAGGACGTGGGATGATGCACATTCAAGTCGCTAACCACACTCACCGGTCAAGAAATGGAATCTTTCTCGTATGGTGTCCCACCAAGTCTGGTGTGTTGCTTCTTTTTAAAATCTTTTTGACTTTTCTTCCTCTTTCATTCTTTGTTTCATTGTTTGTTTCTTTTTTTTCATTCATTCCTTTTTTTTCCTTCATTTCTTTTTTTCTTTCATCTTTTTGCATTCATTCATTTTTTTTTTCTCTCATCCAATTTTTTCTTTGATTCCTTTTTTCATTCATTTCTTTACTTATTTCCTTTTTTTCTTTAATTTCGCTTTTTGACTCTTGTTCTTTGATTCCTTTCTTTATTCCTTTTTTACTTCTTTTTTTATTATTTTCTGTGCCTTTTTCTTTGATTTCTTTCTTTATTCGCTTCTTTATTCTCTTTTGTGCCTTTTTTCTTTGATTCTTATCTTTATCTTCTTTCTTTATTCTTGTTTGATTCCCTGCTTTATCCCTTTTATTTATTCTTTTTTTCTTTGATTCCTTTTTTGCTTCTTCTTTTTTGCATCTATTCTTTTTTGAGCCTTTTTCTTTGATTCCTTTCTTTATTCTTTTTTGTTTCATTTTCTTTGATTCATTTCTTTATTCCCTTCTTTATTTTTTTTTGTGTCTTTTTCTTTATTCCTTTCTTTATTCTGTTTTGTGCATTTTTTCATTGATTCCTATCTTTGTC